TTATTGATACATTGCTTCACCCAGGTATGCTACACTTGTACTTAATATACATATTCTTTCGAGCTCGTTTTGTGATTGATTAATATGAGATTAGTTTTAAGTAGTTTTAACATAGTTTAATATATACAATAAATCAAATTTGTGTGTAAATTAATACAAACTATACAAATTAATAAATGTTGCTGGGATGACATGACGGGGCGTTGGGTGGACATCCGAAAACATAATTCGTTAAGCGAGTGTCGATAGCTTCTTTGATTGTATAAACTTTCAGTTGCATATCGTTGTTTAAACGGTTTAAGTTTTTAATCTTCACTGCCATGAATATAAATAAAGTAGCATCGACATTGGATTGAGAACCCATCACTTCGTCAACGCATGCTAAACACTCATGCAGATTCATGGCACACACAAAGAGATAAACAATTTAATGACTATTATGATATATCGTCGCAAGACTTTCAAGTGAAATGTACTCAAAACACTGAACATTTTCATATAAATTTCTAATTTAACTTTACTTCACTTATATGTCATCTTCGTAACGTTCCGTTCAAAGTTGGAAATGAGTAAACTTTGTTTACACATTTTTACTCTGCAAGAATAAAACTCGTGTTTGTTAATAACTACTTTTCTGCTAACAATTCATAAAATCAAAACATACCCTAGGGGATATAATCACCATGGCCGTCACAGTTTGCAGTTTGAATAATGGTCCCACATTTAGGCATTCACTATAATCGCGATAATTGCGTTCGGCAGAATACGAAAAAATTGATAACTCGTTTTAATGAAACGACCATAGCGACGTATTTACCACCAGAATGTCCAATTATTTTCTTTAAATCAAATTTCATCCATTGTCTAGACTCCTCAGTGTATTTTAGGAAACATCATTTATCTTTATTGGCAAGTGATTAAAAATTTGCTTACTTGCTCCCTTACGACAGGACGAGAGAAGTAGAAGACTAAATAATTAATATGAACTCATTATCGCATAACAAGCGGGGCGTATAAGTGCTTTAAGATTTACTCTGTACATTAGAAAATATCTGTGTACATAACTAAAACAAAATAAGCATAAAAAAAGAAAAAAAATTTATACGGTAGTGAACGAATCTATTATATCCATCGCCGTTTGTCCATAAGAGATTGAAAGAAAGCAAATATTAGTTTGGGGAAAAAGAAATCCATTATTTTTATATGAACTTCAGGACTTTATTTAACATGCTTCGGATTGTCCGATTTGGGTCAAATATGCACCGTTTTCTTGTATGATTTGTTGCCATTTTAAAGGTAACTTCAAAATACCTCTCTCATAGAAGTCCTGGTCTCTATTTGCAAAAAACTCTAGTAGTCGATTTTCACAATCCTCCCTAGATTACAATTTTTTATCATTAAAGAAATTTTGCAATGCAAGAAAAAGATGATAATCGCTTGGTGCCAAGTCCGGACTGTACGGCGGATGCATTAAAACTTCCCAACCAAGCTCCCGAAGTTTCTGGCGGGTCAATGTAGATGTGTGTGGCCTAGCGTTGTCCTGGTGAAACACGACACCTCTCCTGTTGGCCAATTCTGGCCGTTTCTGGTCAATCGCTATCTTCAAACGGTCCAGTTGTTGACAGTAGAGATCAGAATTTAGCGTTTGGCCATATGGAAGCAGCTCATTATAAATAATCCCCTTCCAGTCCCACCAAATGCATAGCAAAACCTTCCTGGCCGTTTGAGGTGCTTCACCGCTCTTTGACCACGATCGTTTTCGTACAGGGTTATCGTATGTAGCCCGTTTCTTATCTCCAGTCACCATCCGTTTAAGAAAGGGGTCTATCTTAGTCCGTTTGGCCAAGGCTTCGCAGATGGAAATTCGATCCATCATGTTTTTTTCTGTTAATTGGTGTGGCACCCAAACATCGAGCTTCTTTTTGAATCCAGCTTTGTGTAAATGGTTTAAAACTGTTTTATGGTCGATTTTTAGCTCTTGGGCGATGTTACGACTGCTAACATGCCGGTCAACTTCGATCATTTCTCCGATTTTATCGACATTTTCGATGACCGGCCTACCTGTGCGAGGTGCATCTTTAACATCAAAAATTCCTGAACGGAATCTACGAAACCAAAATTGCACATAATTGGCTGTTACAGTATCGGAACCATAAACACCATTCACAATTTTAGCCGCCTGGCTTGCATTTTCGCCTTTGTCAAAGAAAAACTGTAAAATGTACCGAATTTTCTCTTTGTTCACTTCCATTTTTAACACGCTGTAACTCACAACTGAATGCACCAAACAAAAAACAGCAAAAGAATTTTTTTTACTGCGAAATATCACCTTTCCAACGAGCATAAATCTGAAATTGTTTGATCGATACTTTACGAGAAATCTATCAGTGCAGCCATCTACCGAAAAAATAATGGATTTCTTTTTCCCCAAACTAATATATAAATTTGCATATTCTGCGGGCGCGGCTGATTTTTGAGCAAACGAGCAAAAGACACGAAAAACAGAGGTACAGTTTCAATTGTACAGACGTGTAAGCGTTATAGGCGTGTTTTTTTATCTCCTTGCGCCATTCTCATAGTTTTTCGCAAATTCGTGGGCGGTACCTTCTTTTTCATAAACGGAAAACTTTGCACCAGAGATACTACACAGTTTGGGAGACAGATAGATGGGCAAATGAAAATGCTTCGATGCATTTCGAATTTGAGACTGGCCACGAATTTTTACAGACCGTGTGGGGTAAAAATATTGAAAACAATAATTAGATTTTGATGCATTGTAATATTGAGTAGGCATAGTCAATTTTTCCCATTTTTTTACAGATGATATAGCATCACCTCTAGAATATATATCCAAATTTTTGTAGATTTATCTGCTGCACTTTATGAGTAGTGTACTTTTTGAGTAGTGAACAATTTTTAATCCTTCTAAGAAACGGAGTTGTGCTCAGTTTACGTCATACTACAGGTGTGTCCTTCGTCCGATTTCGCCCTTTTTCAATACCAATCTGCGTGCAAGATCTTCCCAGATTTCTGCCAAATTTAAAGTGAGTAGCGGCCCGGAGGATGTTTACAAAAGACAGACGGACAAGCTTAAATCGACTCAGAATTTAATGCTGATCATATATACTTTGGGGTGTCTGATGCTTCCTTGTGGGTGCGAACGTTTTAGTAAAAATAATATAACCCTCATCCTTCGGTAATGGACATAAAAAGGTGTTAATCTAAAGAGTGAAGTACAAAATACAGGCGTTAGTAACGCCCCTATGTTCTTATGTGTGTGCACGAATAAGCTAAGAGAAAATTCTATTAACTGAATATTCATCTGACGCAAAAGCACCAAATAATTATATTAAAAACTATATTTGCATGCATGCGGTTTTTTGCTAATTGTTCGTTTAACCGAGCATTTAAGAGCATTTACATAATTTCTGAAATTACAATTAAAAATTGTTTAAGGACGAGGATGTGGCTTTATATTTAAATGTAACTAGCAAAGTCACAAGCCAATAACTCTAACAAAGCTTTGTTAAGCCATACGTTCAGTTAAAAGAAGCCCGGAAAGATTTCTATCAAAACATAGTTGCAATCTCAAAATTTCTTCCATAAATATTATAAACAAAAAATGTCTTAAGTAGTTAAAACTTCGTAGAGAAAATTTTTGTACTATCTCAAATATAAGATTGAAAAAGCGAAAGTTTGCTAAGCTAGGATGTGGTTTTGTACGTAAATAACGAATAAAATATATATTCAACATAAAATGTCGATGCAATAACTCCCACAAAATAGTTCTGTCCACCAGGACTTATTTCTTTAGGTCGCGATTTTCTATAAAAAAAAAAAAATTTTTTTAAAGATTTATTCAGTATCGGCGGAGAGCATAAGATTTTTGAGAAATATTTAGCCTTATCTACAAGTTTCAACTACTGATTCGAACGCATGACATGTAAGCGCATATTGTTTGTTTTCATTGCTTCTGTCAAGCAAATCCTAAAGATTGAAGATTGTAGCTCCGCTTACATTTTGTGATGCAACTGAATGTAACTATTTTTAAAGCATTGAACAAATGGTATTGAATACGTGTGCGCAATTTGCCCACAAAAGCATAACTGATATAATATCATAGCACTCCTTAAAGATTTTGAATTTTTAATCTTACAGACTTATATACGTATCGGAAATCCAATCGGAAATCCAATCTTCGTTAATATCACTCGTACCAGTGATATCAAGTGCACCATGAATCTAATGGGTCTCTTTTAACTTCCTCAAGGCCGTTTTCATATACCATATATAAATCTGAAATTGCTTGCCATTCGGGGTGAAAACTTTTGTTTTTTTTATAGCACATCTTAAGTATGTACAAATTATGACTTCATAATTATTTCACACCTTACTTCTGCTTGATTGTATCGTCTTGAAGAAGGATTAAACATCACTGGTGCAATAATAATATTCAGTAATTCTTTCGTTGGTATTAAAAGTACTTAAAACTATTAGTTTAAAGCATCTCCTTGTTTTCCTATATAATATATTTAAGTATTCATTTTAAATCTTTCGTTTGACGTGATGATATGCACAAGTATAGTTACGGTCAGTGCGGCGATTGGCCTTTATCTTGACTATTACTACAGGAGGGCACAACGAATACGTTTGCTATTGCTCCAAGCACAGTATCTGACTAAACTCAATGATTTGAATTTTCAAAAATAAGCTGTAAAGCCGAGAAATAACGATGAAGACAACTCTGTTTGGTTGACAAGGGCGGAAAATTTTCAATCAAAGGAAACACGTTCAGCAGTTAAATGAAATTCACACACGAAACCCTCATTCTTTGCGCGCGACTTTTTAACTTACCCACAATTTATAAACTTAGTATACGAAAAATTTGACGAAAAAACTTTAGCCATAACTTTAGTTCATATTCGCACATTAAGATATTTATTTTGCTTTGATTTATCATTCAAGACGCACTAGAAACTATTCGTAAACAACATACATATCTAACGTTGGTTCTTCCTTGGGTTGCGAGTAGATTGGAAATTGGCGTTTTCCGCGTCACTTTTCTCATAAACGTTTTCATCCGAATAAGCTATGTACAAGAAATAGTCCTCCTCATGATATTCCTGATACAGAGAACCCATGGTGGCGGCTTTTGGTGGAATTACGTTATTAATAAAAAAGAAGAGAGCGTCTTCTGGACGCAATTGTATACGTTTGCGTATCAAGAAATAAAACTGACCGATCGTTAAATCATTTGGTACCAAATATTTCTTTTTATCAAGGTCCATAATACGGGCCGTAGGTAACTTTTCGATAATTACTGGCACCCGATCTGGATATTTGCGCCGCATTTTATCACCTTCAGCGCGTCGCTTGTCAAAAGAATGTTTCTCTTTATATTCAAATTTCATTTTGATAAAGGCGCTTCTTAAAACCCACAAAATTTTTTTTGATTAAATAGAAAAAAATATGTGTACGACTTCTTCCGCTTCAAAAATTATTTTTATTTTAAATTATTTTTTTTTTAGATGCCCGACTACTACGACTTTTTTTTATACTCTTTAGCTGCTTTGTCACTGTGTACTAGGAACTTGAACACTTCCTGTGTCAGACTTCAAGTTATTAATAAATAACTACTTTGATATTTCATTTTTTTGTTAATAAGGGGAAAAAGAAAAAAACCTAAGTAGTTCGAAACTATGGTTATTTTTATTCATTTGGAAAGAGTTTTTTTTTTTTTTTTTGGTATAGAAATTGCTAAAGTACTATAATTCGTCTCTGAGCTCCATTTATCTATATTCCATATATAAATAACCAAGCTATATTTGTTGTATTATTTCGGTATTTTTATGTAGTTTTCAGTGATTTGTCTCCCACTAATTCGCTTATTGTCATGCTTTATATTCCTTGCAAGTTCGTGAGGTCATAAATAAATTTTTTTCTGATCTAAGGAGATTGAAGAGAAGAATTTAGAAGCTCATCTTTTTAAAGCTCTTTCATCTATATATACCGCCAAGTTACCATCACTGAATGCTTTCATTTCCCTCCAGGCGTTTATTATTTCATTAGCATAAAGCGTAAAGAAAAAGCATAGCGTAAAGCAAAAGCGTAGCATAAAGCTTTCCTTATAATAACTCCTACTATCGACGAACCTAAACCACTATATAAAATTTATCAAATCTTTTGTTAAATAGGGGCTTGAAAATAGGCTCATATGAGCATTTTTATGCTGATATAAAGGACAAGTATTTGTACTAACCCCTACGTTAACATTTAAACATCCACACATCGTCTTTTTTAATTTATTAATGGCGAATTACGTCCGTTTTCCATTCTTATCTATGAACATTAACTGAAAATGTTGTCTCGAGTTTCGTATTTTCTTTTTCAAGACAGTTCTAACAACAAACGACAAGCCGATCGACCTACATTAAGTAGACGAACAGAAGCACAATTCTATACTAGCAAAGGAATCATATATTGTGGGTTATAGGGGATATAGTTACATAAAAGAAGATGTTATTGGAAACATACAAATGGATCGAAATACTGCAAAACCCATGCAAACCATACAATGCTACTTATATAAATTACTACCTCATGTATTCAATCTAGCACAAGGTTTTAAAAGAGGGTTTTTTCTGTCTGTGAGCATTCCTTAAGCTTTGACTTCTGCCTGCAAAGCAAGCGTTGGAAGTTTTTATGGTCATGGAGGTCGAATCTGCTAGTAGTTTATCATCCATCTCACTATTCCACGACTAATTCGAAGATGCTTGAGGAGTGCTTGCCCACTAAGCCTGCCTTTGTTTATATTTCGTGAATCACTCTCTCACGATCTAGATCATACATCGTCATGGATTAGCTGTTTTTTATTAATGTAAAGACATGCTTATGACTTATAATCAGCAACTTATACCAGTGTAGAGTTTGGTGTAAATATTTAAGAAACTGACGAGATTCTTTTCAAATAAATGCGAAATAAATTCTTACCTATGATCGATAAACGATACACTAATCTAAAAATAACGCGAATTTTACTTTGAAAATTGACACAATCTTAGGTATTTATATTTTGACGAAATTTGAAGCGCTGCTCTAATTTTGTCCCAGGAAGAACGCTATTGAAAATGGGTGGGAACTTATTTTTATATATTATATATTTTATACCTATAATGACCTATTTTGTGAGAGTCGTTATATTAAGCAAAAAAAATTTTGGGATAGTAGAAACATTAGATCTTTTTGTACAAAAACTCTTCATTTTTGTGTTACGTATAACTCCCTTTCGTTTAAACAACATGAGTAAAAGCTCCTCAAACCTCGTTCATACTGCACCATTCCGAAAAGCGCACGCCTTAATTTACAAAATTAAGAGAAGTATTTAATGTCTACAGAATTTTGACATTTATTAATTCCCTACATTTCACTTCATTGGGCGCAGCAACAAACTTGATCGATTCACTTTCGTGGAAACGACGATGCAAGTCCCTCGGTTTGAACAAATCCATTGCTTAAAAACCTTTCGAAAACGTTCACGAACATTAAATTTCGTTGTAATGATTTTGTTAATCTATATATATCGCATTACAATTTTTGTTCTTTGCTAAAGAATCGGCTAGGAAAAGAAAATCTTCACTTGCTATCTTAACATTTTGCAAAATTTGGTTTTCCACAAAGTTAGGTAATTTCTACGTAGATTCATTGTATCAAATATGCGACTTTCGTGAGAATATTGGCATATCAAATTAATCTTCAAAATTTGGATGGGTAGCATTTTGTATCGAAAAAGTTTCAAAAAAACTGATTCCACACCTACTACGGGACAAATATAAATTTACTACTTCCTCCCATCAGGAAACCTAAGCAGAAAATGTTTAAAAATCTAGTCGGGGTTAACCGTTTGTAGGTTTTTTTGTAAAAAAATATAAAATTCATATAGTGTTCTTAAATTTTTTGTTGTTGCTGTTATACTGTTGATAAATAAGAAATCGGAAAATAAATCCAAGGAGTATATCGGAGTTGTTATATTTTTGCAACTTGCAGAAATAAGTAAAATCATCCAAAAAGAACTTTTAATTAAAAACTCGGGCTTCGTATATCGATCTAAAGTTTTTTTGTTTGATTGTTACAAACGTTATTAAACCATGGGTTTCTATAAGAATTTATACCATGATGCACCTCACAGTCTCGCAGTCAAAGAGGAATCTTGTATCTTGGACGGCAAGTTTTATAATCGTAAAACATTATGCACAGGCCATATATATTTAAGTGTAGATGCCCAGCATAGCACTAAGCGGTGGGGAGCTGATAGAATAAACGAAGGGTAGAACGAGCGAAGTAACGCATTAGAGAAACAAAGTGGAAAAAACATGAGTCAAGTTGCAAGATAAGTCGTTAAGTGGAAGTCGGCGAGTAGGTAAAGTCTAAACTTGCACAGTCGTTAAGTAGAGTCAAGTTGTAAATTAATACAGTCGTCACGACTTTTGTTTATTTTTTTGTTTATTATTGTTTCTTATACTTAATTTCTAGCGAATTTGAATTATCTTTTAATAAACGTTCGTATAATATCTTTAACATTAATAAAGCAGTATGAAAATCCCTTACATATATTTTTTTTTTTTGTACGACTTATATAAAAATAAGAAAAATCTTCAAAAATAAAAGAAGTAAATTTAATTTGGCTGTGAGCGGATATTTTATGTCTGTCGCTTTTATCCTGGAGTAGACTAGAAAAATAATAAAAAATCTATATTTTAATGCGCTATAATATTGGATGACTGGATTTTTGTAAAATATATGTGGATATTTTTATTATCTTTTATCTGTAATTTATAGCTATCGATCAGAAAGTTTAAAAAGTGGAAATGTTATCGGCTTATGTGGTACTATAGGCGTGTCATTTGACCGATTTAACTCATTTTCAATGCTAACCTACGTGGAAACTCCTCCCAATTTGAATGCACTACTAGCTTAATTTAATTTTTGCGACTAGAAAAACGTTTACAATAGACGTTATACAGATGTTATAATTTTGCGTAAACTTTGGTTTATTTAATGGGTAGTAAAAGGAATTATTAACTGTCTTATTGGGGTTATGCTTGCGAAATGGTATACGGAGTTTCCGAACGCATCTCTTTTCAAATTTTGGTTGGATCGTGTTCTTACTGGCCAAGGTACTCTGCTTCTTTCTGACTGTGACCTTGTAGGCAAGATTTATCAGAAAAACGAAAAGGATTAAGTAATCCTTAATTTACAAATACTTTTTGTTTAAAATTAATTGGCTATTTAACATCAGCTTTATGGAGGTTTTGCATATACTTATTCTACGGGATCCCTTTAATTTGACGGATAAGTTTTGTGAATCCTTCTTTCCCATTTTTGAAAACCTGCTACCTAAATATCCGTCAGAACTACCTACACGTTTCATGCAAAAATAGACCCAATCGAACGTAATTAACGATTAATCTTCATTTATTATTTAGATTTCATTTTACGATCATTGAATTCGTTTTGACACTACCTACCACTGTTTGAAATTTTTGACGGTGGGTGTAAATCTGTTATTAAAGTGAAATAAGCCAATTTTTTTTTTTTTTTTTTTTTGGAATGCAATGAGAAATTATCGAAATAATAAAGTTTACAGTTCAAATGATCTTCAAAGGCTCAACGTGATCTGATCAGGGTCGATACCGGATGGAAGCTTTAATTCATTAATTCGAACGTCCTTCATGTATATACTTGATTAAGGTCACTCGTGTCTCTATGCTTGTTTTCTGAAAATATATCTATAAGTCTCGAACCTATATCTGTAGGACGTCTAATTCCTTCTTATTCTTTAAAATATAGATCTACCCGGGAATGACCCAACGACTTTCGTTATTACCTGTCTTAATAAAATCTCAATGCATTAGGAACAAAAATTTGTTTTTTAATTTATTATCGTATAATATTCTTTTCTTTATAATTCTTACGAATAAAACATTTTCATACTTGTCAATTGATATTCTTAAATGCACTCAAAACCAGCATCTCTTACGAATTAACAAGTTTGGAAGAAATATTTCAAATTCGTTATGTATTTCTTAGCTTTTTGCCTTTATTCATGTTTGAAGTACAACAATTCTTTAAAAAAATAAAGTGTGTAATTTGAATTATATGGTATATTAATCTTTTATGTAAAAAATTAATTTTGGTTTGGTGCAATCAACAATTAGAGCTCTTGGTAAAAGTCTCTCTTTTTCTATCAATCTTTTACAGTTTCTTTGGCTTTCCCTCTATATTTACAGTGGCAACGAAATTGAGAAGTTTGCTTTAATTTGCTGAAAATTTGTGTCGTGGAATTTTTTAGTTTCTCGTAATTTTTTTTTTCTTCGTAAGCTCCTTTTGCTGTTTTCACTGGACATGGATTGTTTATTTGCACTAT